AGATTGAATTTTTTGGATGTTACAGTTATTAGGAATAATGAATTGATAGAGTTTGATTGGTACCATAAACCGACATTCTCAGGCAGATACTTGAATTTTTGGTCACAGCATCCAGTTTCTCACAAGAGAGGTACGGTGATGGGATTGGTTGATAGAGTGATTTTACTTTCGAATCCTAAATTTTATTTTGACAATTTTCGTTTTATAATTAAGGTCTTATTGGAGAATGATTATCCATTAAAATTTACATTTGATAATATTAATAGTCGTTTGAAGAATATTATTACGGCTCGAAATAAAAGGAGAGTCATAGATGATCATAGTCGGGATGTAGTGCTACCCACATGGTTCGCCGTGCCTTTCGTGAGAGGTATTACTGAGAAGTTCAACAGATTGAACAACAGCCATTTGAGAGTGTCGTATTACAGTGGTAATAAATTGCGTGAATTTATTAGAGTGCATAAGGACCCTTTGCCGCGTGAAAAGAAATCAGGAGTTGTTTATAAAATTTTTTGTAAGAATTGCGATGCAAGTTATGCGATGCAAGTGGGACAAACATGCAGACAACTAAAGTCAAGAATTGCGGAACATAAAAATCATATCAGATGGAACACGTCCACCCGCAACGTCATAACTGAGCACCGGCTGCATGAGGATCATTAATTTGATTGGGATAACGTCAGAATATTGGATGATGAACCACATTATAGGAAAAGACTGATTTCGGAAATGATATCCATCAGAAGACAAGCACACGGACTTAATTTACAAACGGACATGGAGGGGCTTCCCAAGATCTACTTCCCGATCATAGACAGGATATAAATAGCATTGTTGTCTGTCACGTCTGTCTAGTCAGTCTCATTTGTGCACAGTAGTTGAGTGTTAACATTTGTTATCTGCAATTTGATAATTTTAATTTAATACCGTCTAACAAATTGTTATGACTCACTGTGTCTGAGACTGACTGGCCTAAATTATTCTGAAGACCGGTTTTGAGAGTGTTTGCGATACAGTATCGTTGTGAACATGGTGAGTCTCCCTACTTCCGGTAAAATAATCGTAATTATGATAAATTCAATTTCGAAATTATTAGTTTTCTTAGAAATTCTGGGAAATTATTTCCCTGAATTCCAGCATTCTATTTATTAATTTTTCTTTTCTGCCTTTATTAGTCATATTATTGTGTTCTTTAAGATGAAATTGTCATCTGATTTTATTTCTCGATTGTGGGGGAGCTTGCGGTGTTTAAACATCCTTTAATCTGTTGTCAAAAATAAGCCGAAACATGTAAGAATAATTTTTGTAATAAATAAGTTTTTCTTGATAAATATCAGCGTTTGCGTGAAGTTATCTGCGCCTAACTCCTAGTGCCCCTTTTTCTTTCCAAGTTAATTTTGAAAAGCAATGTATATATATATACTGTGACGTGACACTTTGTGTCCGTCACTCGTAAGTGCATTGGCATGGAGATCCTGTGTCCTCTAAACTCGAAGGGCGAGGGCACAAGCGAGCGTGCCAAATTTATACTTTTTTTGTTTCGTTTTGTATATTCTTTTATATAAAATATTTAGTAATTTCAGATTTTTAAAGAACGATTATTAGTCACATTAGAGCGTGAGCGGTGGTTATCTTAGATTCGTGTAATGTTGCCGCCTCACTCACGGAAGGAAGAAAGAAGACGTCGTGGAGGAAGCAAGAAACCACCAAAGAAGATTCCGATTGTGTCCTCAAGGAGCGCGGTACACGCAGGTCGTATTGTTTTGTAACCTCTGATAATTTGGATATTATTTGGTGATTGTCGCACCTTTATTGCAGACGACTCGGAGAGAGACGTGATAAGGGACCGTCTCAGCACGGCCCGAACATCGGCAGCCGCCTCCACTTCTGAGGAGAGCGATAGAAGACCACTGATCAAGACGGAAAGCCTCGGCCAGCTAATTTGGAAAAGCGCGCCAGAGACTCAAAGGATACGCAACCCACAGGACTCGCTGTGATTAGTCGCGGGGTTGCGCGACAGCAACAAGCCAATTAGAATAAAGAGCGACCCGATAGGAGAGGGGCCTAGCGGCCTGCGTGGATCCGCGAATGCTCCCGATTATCACTTGCGCGGTGATCCGAGTTCATGTAAAGAGGACACGGGATCTCCGGAGCTTTTGGGAACTAAGAATGCGGTCTACCGTTGCCGAGAAATTTAGAGGCGGAGGTTTTCCTCTGAAGGATCAACGAGGGATCGTTACGTGGTGAGGCGAGCGTTATCTTATAATTTGTGTAAAACCACCGATCGCGGTATGTGAAATGCGTCTCGAGTGGATCGCGCGTTACTCGGTATTTCGTGTTAGAGTTCCCGATGTCGTATTCACCGCCTCAAGGCGTTTAAAGTAATCGTTGCCATAGGCGCGTGCCATTCGCTCGGACGCTGAGATTATTGAAAAGTATAATTATTGTTGTTGCTCGCCCTCGTTGCCGCCAAGTCACTTGTGTAATTGTTAATTGTTGAGAATTCTTTAAAGCCGAGACTGGCGCTATTGCGCATTAGAGAATCGTTGCCGTCTAATGTAAAATCGTATGTTCTAATTATTCACGAAGTAATTATTGTTAACATAATAAGATCTAGATTTGGTCGCATATTTCTACTCGGCGAATTACTGCCGAATTTACTTTCTGTAGTCGACGGCCAGTTAATAGTCGGTTTATTGTTATTGCGCCGCATATCAGAGCGCGGAAGGTCAACGCTGTAACGTACTTTCTTTCGAACATTTTTGTACAGTCTCTATTAAATATATCGATTTCTCTTTATTGTTATTATTAATTCTGGTGCATTTATTTCAGCCTCTCCATCGTTCTCCGACAATTTCCCCGCTAACCGCGAACCACTCCCCTCTGCCAATTCCGTTGGCTGAGCTAGTTGTTTAGTTCCGTCGCGAGAATCCGCGTAATCTTTAATTTCTTGTCCGAGCAATTTATCTAACGATTTGTGCGAAGAGTGGCACGCTCTCTCGTGCCTGGCGCCCAACGAATTTTTGATAGCGATTAAGATCTTTGCTGAGTAAAGTAACTTGTCAACTACTGTAAATTCTCGAATCACGAAAGAATTAATGAAGAACCGCACTATTGCTCCTTTAAGTATTTTGTATTCTAACGAAGAGCTTTCGCATAATTAGATTTCTTTTGGAGGACGCGACGAAGTTGTGTCGACACTCAAAAGTACGGTTACAATACATATATACACACAGCAATGTATATATAGCATAATATAACAATGACACTATGTAAAGGAATTTTTTTATACTTTGCAGAAAACTAGAAGATTATATAGGATTGTATAGGACTATCTGAATCACAATATAAGTTAGAAATTAAAAAGAAAATTAAGAAATACATATAATCTCTTTATTATAATACAGCTATATTTTTACTTAATCTACACTTCTAGCTGTAAATCAAATATTTTGATAGAAAGAAAATTATAACGCTATAATTAAAATATATAATAGAAGTTTTGCAAAACGAAATAATTTCCAATTGCTCAACATAAATGTACACAGAAATGTAAAGCTTTTTACACAGCTCAATTAGAGCAAAGTATGTACTACGTTTAGATTAAGTTAAACCTAATATAGCTTGTACGCCTGTATTAAATAGAAACACTCAATGTTCTACAACCACATTTATAGCTGTCGTAATTAATAACATGTAATTGTTATATAACAGAATAACGTATTTAATCGTATGCAAAGTAACGATAAAAGTAACTGTAAATTTCGTTACCATTATCCAAAAAATGTTAACTACGTTACCGTTATAATTACCAAAAAAAGAAAGTAACGCAGTTACCAGCAAAGTTATCAAAAAAGTAACTTGTAACTGTAACTTCGTTACAAGTAACGAGTTACTTCCATTCCTTGAAAATTAAATATATTAAGAATCTTATCAATATTAGCCCTGTCTGTAGCTAGAGCAATGTCAAATAATGTCATCAACATAATCTTATATAAAACACCGGTGTCATTGAGTTTTTGTAAAGAAACCGTTTCTATAAATGCTGCCTCACGATATCCGCAACTATGGGGTATAATGGTGAATCCATAGGTACACTAAAGGTTTGTCCATAAAATTTGTCATTAAACATAAAAAAATGTAGAATTTAAAACCAATTTAAGTGCTTTAAAAAATTCTGTTTTAGAAATGTCAATATTTCGTTCTATAAGGTTCTACCTCTTCGATAGTCTAAAACTAGATCTATTAGTACATTGGTAAAAATTGATATTACGTCTAAAGTTAATTAATTTTTATTTTTAATTGTTATTTTTATATTAATTTAAATGTGTACTGAAGAGAACCTTAACCATAGGTCGAAACGTATATACGTTTTATTATTCATTTCGAATAAATTGTATAAAAAGTACACACCGAGAACTTGTGTTGGCTCATATTGACAATTTGTTTGTTTCTTTTGATTTTTCATTAAGTAGTTTTCGAGATATAAGATTTCAGAGGTACAATGAACGCGCGCACGCGCCGCACGCACACGCACGCACGCACGTACGAGGTGTAAATCTGATTGAATAACCTCCGTATAGTACATCTTGGATATTGCCGATGATATTGTACCTTTGAGGCCTTATAACTCGAAAAGTATTTATTGAGGAATAATTTTATTATAGAGTTTTAGGAAATTCTCGAGGCAAGTTATAAGAATATATGATATAATGAAAAATATATTATTCTATTTTTAAGAAATTAATGATGATTTTTACGTGATCTTTAAACAACTTTCCAAGGTCAAACCAATAGCACCATCTTATATTCCCCATCAAACCATATAACTTCTGTCTGAAACATTTTTCTCTAAAATGCACTGTTCAAGAAATATTTTAATGCATCATTTAAAATGATTCAGTCTGTATATACCTATATGTTATGTATAAATAGTTATAGATTTTTTTATTTATTGTATATACACTTAAACATATAAGGAAAATAATTAATAGACTTACCTTTTTTAACAAAAGCTTCGATAAATTCTGTGTTTAAAAGGTCGCTGACACATAATTTGTTTACTCGATAATAATCTGTATCTTCTGACAGACAATTGTGTAAATTTTGGGGAACAGTAACTGTATCAGGTAGCACCATGGATATCTGACATACAAAACACAAATTGTCAAAATTTTGAAAACTTGCTAAATTTTGAAACAAATTATTAGCTTACGGAATGATTGAAGTAATGATTCTTCATTAATGTGATTATATTTCCATTCTTTATCATATCCAGGTGTAATGTGGTGGTGTAATTTGGCAGTGGTTCCAAGTTCCATGTTTCCGGGCATAACATGTTGTCTTTTCTTCTTTTTAAATTTTTGCGTTTATTAGAAGAAATCTTTGCTATTAATTCTTAATACAATGCATGATTCGATCATTCATGTCCAACATATTACTTTTCTTTGAATAAACATTTGGTTAAATAATGGTCTCTATTCTTTCTTTTTTTAATACATATCTTTTTATAAATCCTAAAGATGCTTTTTAATATGTTTTCTTTTATAAATTCTAAAAATGTTAAAATATATGTAAGAATTATTTAATAATTTTTAAAAACAAAGAAAAAAAAAGGCAAATAAGAGTCAAAAAACATAAAATACGTTCTACAAAATCGTCTTATAATGCAATATATTAAATTAAAGATTTAAATAAAAATTATAAATAATAACAGTATATTATTTAATTGTATGCATAAAAACAAATTAAAAATTTTAAAAACGTGACGTTTTGGCTCTGTATTTGAGTTCTCTTCAGATGTATACGATATTAAAATATCAGACTGCCTTGATGTACAAAACTAAATATACATCTGAAGAGAGCTCAAATACAGAGACAAAACGTCACGTTTTTTTAATTTTTAATTTGTTTTTATGCATACAATTAAATAATATACTGTTATTATTTATAATTTTTATTTAAATCTTTAATTTAATATATTGCATTATAAGATGATTTTGTAGAACGTATTTTATGTTTTTTGACTCTTATTTGCCTTTTTCTTTCTTTGTTTTTGAATACTAAGAATCCTGTATATTCTCTCTATTTTTAATAATTTTTGCATACTTGTAAAAATGATGAAAATTAATTCGGAATACGAATGATCCATTATATGTAGTAAAGAACTAGAATATTATCGAATATGCTAAGAATTAAATTCAATGATATTTATTATAAATTTATTGTTTGAAAAAAGCAGCAACATCACAATGCATTACTTTGGATTTGTTTACATTTCGTATACTTCAGTGCTTGAGTTTATTGCAGTGGAATGTTCTTTTAATTTAAAATTTCTAATAATGTACATACATTATACAACCTTACTGAAAAAAACACATCACAAAATTACATAATGAAATCATGTAATTAAAACAGATAAATTATGTAACGTTCCAAATCATGTTTTTTCTTTTTATTCTTAATTATTTAATTCTTTAAAATTCGATAAGTATAAAATCACATAACAGATGATATTTCTAATATCATGATTTTTCAAATTATGTGATTTTAAAAAATAAGGTAATGATTTGGAACAATCCATTATGTAATTTACTTATTATAATTACATGATTTCGTTTTGTAACTTTTGTAATGTAATCAGTAGGGAACAGGATCGAGAACTAAGTTCAAATCTTTTGTTTGACCAGCGAGTGTTTTACCATTAAACTATTCATTGGACAGAACGTATTAATGATAAATACGTTAATAAAATAAATAATTAAGGTGATAAACTTACAACAAAAAATTTAGCTGCCGATAACCATGTCAGCCATGCGGTACCTTTCGTATATGCCTAACCTCACTTAAGGCGACGCTAAAACAGCTGTTTTTACCATGATTCTATTCGAAGAGAAAGATCCGAATTGGCTTTAAAGCGGGGAGCACAGACTTTTGCATAACGCATAAACCATATACATAAAGAATTTGATTGGTCCATTGACTTATGCATAAGAAAATGGGCCAATGAAATTCCTTATGCACATGCTTTATGCGTTATGCAAAAGTCTGTGCTCCCCGCTACGGATACGGATTGCAAAATCCTAAAAAGTATGTGCATAAGGAATTTCATTGGCCCATTTTCTTATGCATGAGTCAATGGACCAATCAAATTCTTAATGTATATGGTTTATGCGTTATGCAAAAGTCTGTGCTCCCCACTTAAAAGTACGCACGAAAAGGTATACAGCAAACCCTGATTTCATGAGAAAATCGGAAAAAAATTAAAAAATTCACTTTTTCTGGCAAAGTAGGATCACGTTCAATACCTGTTTTACCCATGGTATAAAGACAAGGGTATGCTCACGCGCATGATAGTTCCAGACAACCAATCAGAAATGTCACTCAGTCTACGTCACATTAAGCGGTAAATTCAAAATGCATTTGCTTAGTACTTCGTACTTCTACATACAGTATTGAATTACGGTATTTTCTAATAAGATTGACTTTTAAAAACGTGATTTCTCGCCGCTAAATTCAAATAATTTATTCTAATCGTATCACAAATAATTTCAAAAAATAAAAAAGAAATCATCTTCCATTATATAAATTGTGAAATAATTTATATAAAGGAAGGTGATTTTACACTTTTAGTAACAATTAATACTTTTCTTGAAAAGCAATTCACATTATTTATTGTAGAAATACGCAATTAGCAAAAAACTTTCATTGTGCTCTCTTTACAAAAAAAATATATACATATAATGATCATTTAAGATTCTTTTGTAACTTATTTTTGAGGAATGGACGATGAAATGAATTATAATATAAGTAATGACTATATTTATTAAGAAATTTTGATAATCATTACATTTGAAGAAGGCTCAATCAAGGAGCCGAAACATGTCATGTATGCATACGAAATTTAATTAAATTCAAAATTTTTATATACAGGAAAATTTAATTTGTAATGTTTCGTTGACTCTCAGAGTTGCCCTTATTATTATCCTCTATTGTTTCAGCATAAATAAATACATAAATAAATAAGGTGGAATTGTACAATAGTATTAATCGATGAAATTGTCAGTGCTCTTGGTGAAAATTTTTCATATAATTTAAAAATATTTTTAATAAAGAATTTAAAATCTAGATTTGTTTATACGAATGTTTATACGAATTCCCATATAATAAAAAATTATAAGAAAAAGTGTATTCTTTCTCAATACTTCTGAAAGCATTTTAATTCATGTAAAAATTCTAACAAATTTTCACCAAGAGTTTCGTGATATTTTTGTTTGATTGTAAAAAGGATAATTATACAGAATCATTCAAGCAGCTTAAAAATCGATCAAATTAGGCTTATTCGACGCCTTTTTGCATAAAACGAAAGAATCTGGCAGAAAAAAGTGTCGCTCTGCCCTACGAACCGAGATATTTAGCGTTAATATTGACGACTATTCAGGTTAGGAAATCTGTCTTACCGACTACATGTAGTGCTACGAGTATGCCTTCTTCATACTCTCTGATCTCGTGCGCATGCGCTTGGTATGGTTCGAGTCCAATAGAATGCACGATATTTGAAATTAACACTGCCAAACAAATATAATATATTGTTGTCAGACGCGAAATTCTACAGCTTTCCCTGTTCAGAAACGTTGAACTTTCCACGCGAAGTAACTTCCCCCCCTCCTGCACAGGGGTACACGACTTCTACGATTGTACTGTCGGGGCAGACCTCTG